GACTGCAGCCTCTCCCCCTCCCTGGGCGCCCAAGGAGGGGTAGATGGCTGCGTCTCTGGCCAGAGACAGGCCCTGTGGCCTGCAGCCTCTCCCCTTCCCTGGGCAGCCTCTCCCCCTTTTTATAGTTGACGTTCTTGAACTACACTTCTATCCAGTTGGTGAGATTAATGTAGCATTTTGTTGTTTGCCCGTCCACTGCCATAAAACGCAAAGAAGAAGAAGAAGAACTAGAAGCTCAAACTTTTTACATAAACATCCAATTGGCTGATGTCAGCATTGTCAAATTGAAGAATCAGTAGTCCATGTTTTATGTCTGTGCCATAAGTAAAACATATAGCAGGACAAGAAAAACTGGCACGTCAAAATGAACAATATACCAGAGGTAAAGTTATACTGACGTAAAACTGAAAAATCTGATGAGGTCAATTGTTTTTCTTACTTTTTGTTAGAATGGGGTTTTTTTGTTAATTTTTTTTTTGTATTGAACATCATATTCGCAGACACATAAGGCAGTGAAATCTGTCTACAGAACCCACAAGGGGCTGAGCAACAAATCATACACATATTGTTAGAATGTTTTAAGTTACAGTGTTTGGAAGAAGAAGACTGCCAACTGCCATAAAGCCCCAAGAAGAAGAAGAAGAAGAGGAAGAAGAAGGAAAAGTATTAGGAGAAGAAGAAGGGGGGAGCAGAAATTTGGCGTCTTAACTTTTCTTTACCGGAGGTGTTGGGACAAGGGTCAGGGGATATAGGATACAGAGCATTTATTAGGTTTTTAGAGAGCAAAGGGTTACACAAGATAATATAAAGTGAACTGAGTGGGGTATTTTGTTATAGTAGTAGGTAGATGCCAGAGGTGGGACCAAGTCATTGTTTTGCAAGTCATATGCTCATCTCATATTGTCTGTGTGTGTGTGTGTGTGTGTGTGTGTGTGTGTGTGAGAGAGAGAGAGAGAAACATAAGTATATGAACATGCCAATGAACAGTGTTGTGCATTTTGTGTTATTTAAATCCCCTATTCTGTGTTGCACTTGCAAAAGACCAAATTGGCCAAAAGTCTGTCAGTCATTTGTGCACGATGAGGCCGTAGTATGACACCACCATGGCTGAAAACTCGCTCCACTGGAGCACTGGATGCAGGCACTGCCAAAACTCTGATGGCCACTTGGAAGAGAGAAGGGAGAGTCTTCATGTTCATTGCCCAGAACAAGAGAGCATTCTGTCCTTCGGCTATGTCAAGGTAGTGACTTAGCTGTAGTGCTGGAGTGGTCCCAACATCCTTCTTCTGCCTCTTTTGGTATACTGCAAACAGCCCTTCTCCTTGTTCAAGGTGCTCTTGATCTCCTTCATCAAAAGGCACAGGTTGCTCAGACTCTCCAGCATCTTGCAGGATCAGTTCTGGCAAAACATAAAATAGAAACAAAGTGTTGATGATGAAACTTATTAGACTGAAAATCATGACTGAAAAAATGTTACATTAAAATCAATAATATTTACCTTTAACTCGCTGTGCTACCTCTGTCTTGATGTCACGACTGACCAGCACATGGTGTTCCACCCATAACAGAGAAAACGTAGGATCCAAAGCAGCTGCTTTGAGGTAGACTGGGTCTGAAAACGGGGCAGTGATCCCATCTTGTGTTCTGGCCATTTTCACATTGACAAAGATTCCAAGAAATCTGTTGTTCAGGGATACTTGGAGACTTCTGACCAGACCACTCAGGAAATAGACTTGAGGCTTCAGTTTTTCAAGGTGGTGATTGAGGGACAGCACAGAAGGAACAACAGCACTGATTGTGACTACCTTCTCCCCCTGTATCATATCAGTTGCTTCTCCAAAAGGCTTCAAGATGTCCACCATCTCTTTCAACAGGTTCCACTCTCGTGCTGTGAATGACAACTCCTTGTGCCCAGCCTTTTCTAGAACAGCACAAAAATTTGGATGATCAAACTGCAGAAGTGCCTTCACTTGCCTCATTGTTGAGTTCCATCTTGTGTTGGTAACAGCAGGGATACTTTTTTGTTCCCCAAATTCAGCTTCGAAAGCGTCTTTGAATGTTGTGCTTGTGTGCAGCAGTGAGCTGAGTTTGGATAACTTTGAAAGAGCAGGAGATGCTACTTTAGTTTCTTTTAAGCCATCTCTCACCACTAGCTGAAGTGTGTGTGCAAAACACTGCAAGCGCTGTTTCTTTGCCATAGCAGCATCTAGTGTTTCCTGCTCTTCCAGGGATAAGTCATGCCACAGCTCTGGGTCATCAAGATGATCCCCATCATCGTCATGCACCTCATCTTGAGTGGGGAAGCATACAGTGAATGCTTTCCGCATGTTTGCAGCATTATCGCTAATGATGAAGTCCAATTTTTCTTTAATGTTGTATTCATCACATATTGCCTCAAATTGTTCACAGATTCTGTCACCGGTGTGTGAGCCTTTGAAGCGGTCACAGCCCAAGAGTTTGGATTTTAGTTGTATCCTCTCCATATCTTTCTCTATCCAGTGCACAGTGACACCAAGGAAACCCCTCATCTTTCGGTCAGACCAAATGTCCACAGTGACTGAAACATGGTCTGTGTTGCTCAACTGAGTTTTTAATATTAAACGTCTCTCTGCAGCGAGTTTCTCTGTTTTTGAAGTCATTGTTTTGCGACACACTGGACTGTACTTACTGTCCACTACTGTCAGAAAGTGCCGAAAACTCTTATTTTCCACAATAGACAGGGGCAAGTTGCAACCAATAATCAAGTCAGACAATATTGAATTGGTGATAGCTTTCTGCTGTGGATGACTCATGCTATACTGCCCTACATGGATGTCCAGAAATTGTGAGATTGAAGGCTGTTCTGGTTCATTTGTGATGCTTTTGTTCATCTGGTATTCTTCAAATCTGTAAGATGTAATCATATTAGCACATGTCAGAAAATTCCATGTAGTTAAACATGAATTGCATTTAGCAAATTATGCTATGTTGCCCATGTTAATACATAAATTGTAATATTGA